CCACCTCAAGAATCTGTTGAGGAGTGCATAAAACTATACCTGTTCCCTAATCTTAGTGACCTCAAGCAGAAGGCTCGCTTCCTTGGCTATATGGTAAAGTGCCTCTTGCACTCATTCATTGGTCGCAGAAAGGTTGACAACAGAGATGATTTTGGAAACAAGAGATTGGAGCTGGCTGGTGAGCTCCTTGAACGAGAGCTCAGGGCGCACATTAAACATGCCGAGAGGCGCATGGTCAGGGCTATGCAAAGAGATCTTTATGGAGATAGACAAGTCCAACCAATTGAGCAATATTTGGATGCATCCATAATTACCAATGGTCTCTCCAGGGCATTTTCAACTGGACTGGACACTGGTGTCACGCTTACAAGAAAATGGAGAGGGTTTCTGGCGTTGTTGCTACTCTTAGACGAACCAATCCATTGCAGATGACGGCTGATATGAGGAAAATGCGTCAGCAGGTTAAATACACAGGGAAGGTTGGCGATGCTAGATACCCGTAAGTGTTTGTATTTATATCGACCAATTTTTTGTGCTTTCCATTAGCAAAAATGGTGACTTCATTTGTCTTGCTTCCTGATCCTTTAATAATTCTGTCTTAATTTTTTTTGGTAGTTTGTTTCTGTTTTGTTTATCTTAAGTATGATAATCTAATGACTGTTAAAATAACTTATCCATACATCCTTCACACTGTGGGAAGGTATGTTTTCTGTCTACCTCAGATGGAGAAAATTGTGGCTTGGTAAAAAATTTGGCTAGTATGGGTCTTATCAGCACTACTACTGTGAAGCCACTTCTTGGGACATTGTTCCAGTGTGGGATGCAACAGTTAGTAGATGATAGTGCCACCTCACTCCACGGAAAGCAGAAGGTGCTTCTAAATGGGGATTGGGTTGGAGTATGTGAAGATTTTGCACTCTTTGTTTCAAAGCTAAGACGTAAGCGCCGCAGGAATGAAGTGCCACACCAGGTCGGCTCATGATCAATTTCATTTAATTATGTACAGCAGAATCATAAAGCCTTGTTGTTGAATATTTGTTTATATTGCCAGTATGTTCATTGATTCACCAAAAGGATGGTTATAAAACTGTCAGCCAAACGTAGAAACTTGTCTTTTTCTCGTTTTCCCACAAGTAGGATTAAAATTTTTTGGTTTACTTTATTGGATGTAGAATATCATGTAAGTGCCACTGGAATAAGGTCGCACATCAGTTTAACTGATCATTTTGATTTAGAGCCTGTTTGACCAAGCTTCCGGGAGGCTAAAAGTACTTTTTTTTGTTGTTAAAAAAGTACTTTTTGAAAAATTTAAGGTGTTTGACCAAGATGAAAAAGTACTTTTGCTTTTGGGGAGAAACTACAAATTGTAGCTTTTTCGAAGAAGCAGAAGCATAAGTAGAAAATTACATCCATAAATTCATTAAGAAGGCGATTGTAAAACTATTAACCAAATGTGAAAGACTCATTTTCTCTTTGTTCCTGAAATAGATGTGACTTTTATGGTATATTGTATTAAATGTTGAATAACTTGTATGCTGACAAATCCCGAACCCTCAAGCAGCCAAAAGTGGGTTGTGCCTCTTTCCTCCCGTGATGAACTGAACTCCCGGCCTCTTGGTTGGAAGTAGAGGGTCTACCACTAGAGAATCCTCTCTTGTCATTGCAGAGTTTCCTTAAATGGAAATAAGTGCTATTTCAGGATAACCATAATGCTATAGTAGAGATACAATTTTTGAAATCCAAATTCTTGGTGGAAGTTAAGAGAGATGAGAAGCAGGATGAAATTCGCATATTTTCTGATGCGGGAAGGATTTTGCGCCCTCTTCTTGTTGTTTCAAGTCTAAAGAAAATCAAAGCTTTGAAAGGGGGAGACTATGGCTTCCAATCTCTTCTAGACAATGGGATTATTGAGCTTATAGGACCTGAAGAAGAAGAAGATTGTCGAACTGCATGGGGAGTTGAATGCCTCTTAAAAGCAGATAAAGAGAACCCACCCGCTAAGTATACCCATTGTGAGTTGGACATATCTTTCCTATTAGGTTTGAGCTGTGGTATTATCCCTTTTGCAAATCATGATCATTCTAGGAGGGTCCTCTATCAGTCTGAGAAGCACTCTCAACAAGCAATTGGGTTTTCAACAGTGAATCCAAACATTAGAGTTGATACAAATACCCATCAACTGTATTATCCTCAAAGGCCACTTTTCAGGACAAAGTTGTCAGATTCCCTTGGGAAGCCCAAAAATGCTCGTAACCAGAAAGGAATGCTTCCACAGCCTGAATACTTCAGTGGTCAATGTGCTATTGTTGCAGTAAATGTTCACCTTGGCTATAACCAAGAAGATTCATTGGTTATGAATCGTACGTCACTGGAGCGTGGAATGTTTCGATCGGAGCATGTTAGGAGCTACAAGGCTGAAGTCGACAATAAGGAAGCTATTGGAAAGAAGCCAAAGGTTGAAGATTCTGATAACTTTGGGAAAACCCAGAGTAAAATTGGACGAGTGGACAGCCTAGATGATGATGGTTTTCCATTCATTGGGGCAAATCTCCAGAGCGGGGATTTCATAATTGGGAAATACGCAGAATCAGGGGCTGATCACAGTGTCAAGCTGAAGCATACCGAGAGGGGTATGGTTCAGAAANATATATATATATATATGCTTCTACTTATGTGACTCTATATATTCCATATTGAACTTTTTTTTAAGACACATGTTTATGAGAAACAAGTAATTATTTGAAAAACCATATTAAGGCTTAGAAGAGCTGTTTGCAGTCGATTTAGCAAGCTTCTTAATTCCGTTGCATTTCATGGGGGGTCTTCATGATAAAAGGAGAACAAATGCTATGTAGACTATTTATAGCTTCAAGTACTTTGATCTCTCATTAATGAACACCTTGAAAGAGTAGCCAGTGAACTGAATAAAAGCAGATTTGTCTATAAGTAGCATTACTAAACTTTGCTAAAGCTTCAAAACTAGAAGCCATTGTAGAAAATCTTCAGCCTGATGTTGTAAGGACCAACTGATGTAAATTCTGAAGAATCAACATGTCCTTAGGAAGTATTACCCTGGGGGGGGGGGGGGGGGGGGTTTATAGGCAAATCACATGGTGTAATGCCAAGGGAGCTTATAAACTACCCAAGATCCCTGTTTTCAACCAATGTAGGAAATGTTCTATGTACCATTAGAGCGCCCTCAACCCCCAACAAGCAGTTTTTGGCTGCCAACTACAAGGGATCCGCCCTTTAGCGGACCCTATTGACAAGTGGATCCTTCAACATATTCTCATGGGGTATTACTCCGCCACCAACATGGTGTGAGGGATTTTGGTCCTGAAAAGATACCTTACGAGGCGAGTGGGAGGGAGCTCATAAGCTGTCCTAGCCCCTTGTCTTTGACATATGTGGGACAAGGTCCCAAGTAACAACAGCTGATACTAAGTCATGACACGAATTGAACTAATCCTAATTCACTTTTATTGATTCCAGTATTCTTGTATATTCTGGTGCAGGTTCGTTCTCCATGTCTTGGAGACAAGTTCTCCAGCATGGACGGAAAAAAGGGTGTCCTTGGATTTCTGGAATCTCAGGAGAACTTTCCTTTTACAGCTCAAGGGATTGTTCCAGACATTGTAATCAATCCCCATGCATTTCCTTCAAGGCAAACCCCTGGTCAGCTGCTTGAAGCCGCTTTGGGAAAGGGTATTGCCCTAGGCGGTGGTCAGAAATATGCCACTCCCTTTTCCACTTTATCAGTTGATGCCATAATCGAGCAGTTTCATGAGTATGATATCTGAAAGCAGTATCCCTTTCCATAGTTATATATAATTATGCCAACCAGTTAGGCAGTGATCGTGTTACTTTGTTGTATTCAACATGAATTCTGGTGATTTGTCATTGACTTTTGTAAATGGTATATGACCTGTAGGCAAGGTTTCTCAAGATGGGGAAATGAGAGAGTTTACAATGGCCGGACAGGTGAAATGGCTCAAAACCTGATTTTCATGGGCCCAACATTCTACCGGCGCCTTATCCATATGGCTGAAGACAAAGTGAAATTCCGCAATACTGGACTAGTCCATCCCCTTACTCGCCAACCTGTGGCTGACAGAAAATGCTTCAGTGGAATTAAATTTGGTGAAATGGAGCGCGACTGTCTTATAGCTCATGGTGCTGCAGCGAATTTGCATGAACCCCTTTTCACACTTAGTGACTCCTCCCAGATGCACATATGTGGGAAATTCAAGAATATGACAAATGTAATCCAGAGGTCCGTGCAAGGTGGTAAAGTAAGGGGCCCGTATTGCCGCTTCTGTGAATCAGTTGAAGACATAGCGAAGGTTGATGTGTCATATGGTGCAAAGTTATTATGCCAGGAGCTCTTCAGCATGGGCATATCGCTTAAGTTTGACACTGAGATTTGCTAGTGTCTAGGTCTCATCTCCAGGTTATACTTATCATTCAGACATTTTGGTACAGTTGTTGATGACAAACAATTTTATGTGTAAATATCTCTCGTGTTGATGCAAAAAGAGATGGTCTGCTTGTATCAAACCTTGTTGGTTATCAGGTCGAAAAAGCTATTTATGTTTAGACATTCTCTCTCTCTCTCAAGTTGATTATTGAATTATTAATGTAAATTTTAGTTGAATAATATGGGAAAGTATTGGCAGTAGACGACCATATGCTTGCTGCTAAAGGGTAAAAATGTCACACCCCAACCTTGGGAGGTGTGGCTGGCACCCGATGCCCGAAGGCCCGAGCGAACCAACCATGAGATATGATCTGAAATATAATAACCTGCAGGCAGAAGAGCCCAACACGACATATATATATATATATATAAACTAGGCCAACAAGGCTGTAACAACAGTATAACAGCTATCCAGAAGGCTGATATGGCGATACGAAAAATATATATATACAATGACCACTAGTCTGCAAGCCTCTAAGAGTGTAAGACAATCTCAACAGGGCGGGACAAAGCCCCTGACATGCCCAAAACCACACATATACATCTGTAATAGTACCTATGGACTCAAAGTCAGCAACTCCGAAGAAGTGGAGTGCGAAACCCAACACTGATCCTGGGGGTCCTACTAAGGAGGCACGCCACTCTGTCTATTCGAACCTGTGGGCATGAACACAGCGCATAAAAATGCGTCAGTACGAAATATGTACTGAATATGTAGGGCGACAAGTGTAACATGAAAAATGTAATTAACAAGAGAAGAGACATAGAGATAATTTAAATTCTGAAACTAGCCTCGGTAGGAAACTAAAATTCAACATGGATATAAATGTATGCTCGTGACACCGTCGTTCACTATCGCTACTTATAATATATCACATTATATAATAATAAATCCCTCTGTGGGGCTATAATATCCATAACATACCCGGCCATAATAAAGGCTCGGTAGAATCGTACCCGGCCACGTGAAGCTCGGTAATCCCAACTGATCAGTGGTTACACAATATGTGTCATACCCGGCCGTCTATAATGCGGCTCGGTAATGAAAGTAAATACATACATATACTAGATCATAAATTATATAGGTGCAATGCGAAACCAACCTTAAAAGACGTATTCTAAGAAGAGTCGAAGTGGCCTATCATCATTCTTCCCCGACTATCATGGTTGTGGCTAAAAATATTTAATTTTCAACTACGAGCCAACAAGTACTAAGAACATGAGAGTTGTGTATTATGAGTACCTTTGAAGTAAATGTTACTTATTCATGATTTATATGAACGTCGAAAGGAGAACGAGTAAAAGGCTCTAGTTCTTTTTAAGCAAGGAACAAGGAAATCCGAGAATTCATAGATATCCTCTAGAGTAAGCAATCTATGAGAAAAGATCAGGTCTAAGCATCTTTATAAGTTGAAGGTGAAATAACTCGAATCCGACGAGACAATTCGATAAACGTTTATTCGAATTCTAGTCATGCCGAAAAGTATAGCGAAAGCCCTACATACCTTGTCGATGGAGTTATATACTGTTTCCAAGACCTCAAAAGCCTTAGGAATGATTTCCTACATAATACAAACCATTCAAAATCAAATTCAAGCTCATAGCTTAAATAATTCTTCATTTAGACATTTACGCGAACAACTTGTGGCCATGAATTTGTAGACTCTTTTGTAGATTAATTTCCCCCCAACACACCACCAAATTTTACTTTACTACATCTCCTCATCAACAGAATTCCATCCATGTCTTCACAGATCCAAACAACACAATAAAATCATATAGAACAGCCCCAACAATCAAGCCATATTAAGAGAGGTTTCTAAAAAAAATCAAGAATATTTCTATAGAGGTTTCAACTATTTCTTAAGAATTCTTACGGTAGAAGTTTACAAAGATCAAAGAGGAAGTTAAATCATACCTTATGTGACCAGAATTACTCAAAATTCGAAATTACAAGACGGAGTCTTGCTATGAAAAGTGAAACACCGAAGAATTCACGATTCCGAAGCTACCATGGTGTTCTCCATCTTGAGGATGACTAAATTGTTGTTATGCTTGGCTAGATGGATGGGAGAAGTTTGAGAGGAAATCCCTAGGTTTTTTGTTCTGTTTTGGAGAGGATAAAATGCAGGGGTTCTGTTTTAGAAATTGACTTAAATAAAGAAATTTTGACTAAACCCGACTAGGCACAATGTTCCCGTAATAGTGTGCACCCCTGTACGAAAATGTTAATATCTATCTACTCCGAAGTCGTATTGACAAACGGTTTGTTGCGTTGGAAACTAGACTCATAGACCTTCGATTCGGTAGGTAGAACACACCATAACTCCCAGTATATTGAGAGAAAGGGTCATCAACATTTTATCCAAATTCTAGTAAAATTTAAACCCGTAACTTGCACGCGATCTTTGTCGAATTTTAATCACAACTCAAATGACTTCCAATCTTAACGTATAACTATCGCATCATTTAAATATCTCATAGAAATTATCTTTCTATTGAATTATCCCATTTACAACATAATAACGCCGAATACACAAGGTGTAACATTCTCCCCTCTTTAAGAACATTCGTCCTCGAATGTTAACGGTTAACCTAACTTCTGAATTTTTATTTTATTTTATTTTTAAAAAAATTTCACCAGAGTTTCCCCTATAAATATGAATATCCAAAACCTGTCATCAGCCCAAACATACATATCTAAGGCCACACAGGGCTACACATCATAATAATAACATCAACTTGGCCTCACCCGACCATTTACTTATACAATAATGATAATAAGAAGGTTAGCCATAACTTAATTACCTTAACTGTCACTGGTTGATATATGTGCAACACCTGCCATGTTTGTCTCAGGCATATCACCTGAAGACTCAAATAAATGAGGGTATCTGGACTTCATGTCCTCCTCGGCCTCCCATGTCATTTCCTCTACATTATTGCTCCTCCAAAGTACTTTTACTGAGGCTACCTCTTTAGTCCGTAGCTTACGGATTTGACGGTCAAGAATGG